CGGACGGAAGGGGGCAAGGTGGTGGGAATACTGTGCTGAGAAAACGAGGACGGCACCTTCACGGTCCTCGACAGAAAAAAACTGTCGGTCAACTTCGGGCTCCAGAGCAGAGAGCCGGTGGCGGTTCAAGGCGGCAGGGTGCTGGGGCCGATGGGCGAAGCGCGAACAAAGTTACTCCATTTGGGGCTAAGCAAAGACGGGGAGATACTGACGCTGAGGGAAATCAGGAAAACCCTGGTTAGCTCAGCAGGCATCGTGAAGGAGCAGAGGAGATGGATCAGAGAGGGGAGAATCATCGAGTGTGGGGGGGGGGGGGGGTTCATCAAACAGGGGGATTTCCTTGCCACACCTGTCGGGACACGAGAAGTTTTGCTGCGGCTTCACTGTACAAACCTGCAAGTGGGGGAGCCGCTAGTCTTTCTATAAAGAAAAGGTCGTCTGTCTGCACTGCAAAGTAGAGGAGACACAGGAGCACTGCCTGCTTGGCTACCGGCAACACAGAGAGTGGTGAGTTTTCTGCGAAGGGGCCTGGCTGCAATGAACCCGCAGCTCTGGCAAGGGCTCGAGGACCTGCTCTTCATGCAGAAGAACACGAAGTCCGGTTTCTTGGAGAGCTCCCTCATTGCCACCACGCTCTATCAGGTGTGGTTGGCATGTTAAAATCTTAGGCAAGGAGAAGTGATTGAACTATCGAGAGGTTTGGTACAAGAGTGAAACCTAAGGGGTTGTACCCCACAGTATGTACCCCACTAAGCCTACCCAAACTATAACATATAAATATATGTTTGACACACCCCCATAGGCAAAGTGGGGGAGAACAGAGGGTCACAAGGCCAGTCAGGAAGTGCAAAGCAAGCTCAGGGTGGATCACAACGTCACCACGCAGTCTGAGCACAAGCAAAAGGCCACAAGGCCAGTTCACATGCAGAGATATATATGTAACAACAACAGCACAGTGATCTCTACCTACCAGAGCAAGCATGCAGGTATACATATAGATCACAGTACAAACAAAGCCTACAGCAAGTGAGGAAGCGTGGGCACAAGGCCTAACAAAGTACAGAAACGCTGATGATCACCAGGCGGAAGTGCCTTGGTGAATATATCAGTAGTGTTGGCCCGAGTGGCCACGTAAGCAAGACGAAGCTGGCCACGCTGCTGCAGCTCTCGAGCAAGGAAGTAACGCAGAGCGATGTGCTTCGTTCTGTGCTCCAGTCTGTGCTCCTGACACAAGGCAATGGCGGCCTTGTTGTCGACGTACAGCACTGGAGGAGAACGAGGCCGCTCTCCCAAGTCGGTCAGCAGGTAGGTGAGCCAGCGTAGCTCCTGTGCAGCCATGGCTGTGGCGTAGATCTCAGCCTCACAACTGGAGCCAAGAACTGAAGACGAGTGTGTAGAACGCCAGGAAACTGAACCAGAACCAAGGCTGAAGGTGTAACCCTGTGACGACCGCTGCGTAGCCTGGTCGTCAACCCAAGAGGCGTCCGAGTGACCAGTGAGGACAACGTCACCCCGTCCTCCAAGCACGAGCCCCATGCCCGATGTACTGCACAAGTAGCGTAGTACCCTCTTAGCAGCATCCATGTGCACCTTTCGGTGCCGACCAGGAGCCACGTAGCGAGCCAGAAGGCCAAGAGGGTACGCGAGGTCAGGACGAGTGCAAGTCATCAGGTACATGAGGCAGCCAACTAGCTCTGGGTAAGGACCACTCGGCTCTACGGACTCGTTCGAAGGTGGAGCTGAGAGCGAGTGACCTGTAGCCAGGGGAGTGGCCTGTGCTGAGGACCAGGTGAAGCCGAAGCGCTGAAGGACCTGCTACACCATGTGTGACTGAGTCAGTGTGATGGTGCGGCGTGCTCTGTCCCGGGTGATTTGCAAGCCAAGGTAGCTGCGCAGCTCACCCAGGTCTGTGCACGTGTGTCTCTTTTGTAGCTCCGACTTCACCAGGGCGAGAGCCTCAGTGTCAGCAGTGGCAAAGACCAAGTCGTCGACGTATACAAGGATGTAGAACGGCGGCAGCCAAGTGTCGTTGCGCAGAAACAGCGACGGGTCAGCAGTCGACGGGGCAAACCCAAGAGCCGCAAGAGTCGTCCTCAGTGTGTCGTGCCACTCATGTGGCGCCTGGCGAAGACCGTAGACTGGCCGCCGGAGACTCCACTGGGTACCAGGAGGGAACGACCTAGTGAAGCCAGGTGGGCGGCGCAGCCAGATCTCCTCGTGCAGGCTGCCCTGTAAGAAAGCTGTGCTGAAGTCAAGAGAGTGAAGCTCGTAGTCACGCTGAGCGGCAACGTGCAGCAGTACCCGAAGAGTGGTCATCTTCGGGGTGGGGGAGAAGGTCTGGAAGAAGTCAACTCCCTCTCGCTGACTGAAATCTCGAGCAACGTAACGAGCCTTAAAGACAGGCGGAGAACCTGGCGGCCGCTTCACCCTAAAAATCCACATGCCACTGACGATGTTCGCCCCAGGAGGGGGAACCTCGTCGACGTACGTGCCTGTGGACTTCCAGGATGCCATCTCTGCATCCATGGCTGTCTGCCACTGAGAGGAGTACTCACCCGCGATCGCCTCAGCGTAAGAGCGCGGGGTCGGGATGTCTGGTGCATCCGGGTCTCCCTCAGGGGCAAGCAGCATGGCCACGAGATGAGGCGCAGCGGCTGCAAGACACTCAAGGTCCTCCTGCCTGTCCTCAAGGACGTCCGTGCCAAGAGCACACTCACCCCCGACGGACGGAGTACAGGCAGACTCAAACTCAGCAACAAGACTAGCGGCGTAGTCTAGACGACAGGCAGCAGCAAAGTCAACAAGCTCAGCGACTAAGGCAGACGCAGCAGCAGACTCAAACGACGGGTCGGTGACAACAGTGGCTAGCAGACGCGTGACAGTAGGGTGCTCAGCACGAAACAGGTCAGACGCAGGGTCAGCAACGACCGACAGAGAGGACGCAGGGGGAGACGGCAGGCGAACACGCGGCGGCGGAGATGAAGGACGATGGACTACAAGGGGAGGGCCGGGGACTGTCGCCTGACGCTGACGAGGAACACGACGTCTGGAACGACCAGAATGGATAGGCGAGACAGGACGCGACGCAGGCTCACGACGCTCAGCAAGGCCCCCAGTCTTCTCTGTGTACGGAGAAGGAGCAGGTAGTGGTGAGCCAGGCTGTAATGGAAGACTAGTAGACGAGGGGAGACTGAGAACCTGGCGAAGCGCAGAGTCAGGCGGTGGCTGAGACGACGGAGACGGCGGAGCGAAGAACAGCCGCGACTGTGCAGCGCCACCAGCACCAGCAGCTCCAGCACCTCCAGTAGCTCCAGTACCCCCAGCAGCTGCAGCACCTCCAGCAGCTCGGCAGCAGCGGGCCGCGCAGGCAGGCACACGGGCAGGGCACGCGCGGCTGCTGGCTGCGTGCGGCTGAGGTCTGCGCGCGGCTGCTGGCTGCGCGTGGCGACGGGCTGCGCACGACTGCGGGCTGCGCGCGGCTGCGGGCTGCGCGCGGCGGCGAGCTGCGCGGGCGTGGCCTAAGCAGGCTGCGCGCAGGCGGCGTAAGCGGCGCGCGGGCGGGGCCTAAACGGGCTGCGCGGGCAAGGCCTAAAACGGGCCGCGCGGGCTGCTTAAGAGGCGCGCGCGGGAAAAAAAAAGGGCCGCGCGCATGCAGCCGAGGCGCGCGCGGGCAGTAGGCAAGGCAGGTGAGATAATGTGGTAACCGGTGGGCCCGAATCCTAGGTCCTAAAGACCTATGCTCTAGATGCCATGTTAAAATCTTAGGCAAGGAGAAGTGATTGAACTATCGAGAGGTTTGGTACAAGAGTGAAACCTAAGGGGTTGTACCCCACAGTATGTACCCCACTAAGCCTACCCAAACTATAACATATAAATATATGTTTGACATGGCAAGGTGTGGCGCGATACATCAGAACATCAAATTCCAACCGAAGAAGGTGTTGCGCCAGGTAGTGGTAAAATTTGTCGCACATGCAATGGTGTATTGTTTGGCAAAGCAAGTGGCTGCCCAAAAACGGGGGTTGGTGGACAGCGGGGGCGAGTGGGCGTTCTAGGAAGCTGATGAGGCGGTGGTGATGGGGCGGATTTGCAACAAGGGGGCACCACTGACGTGGAAGAGCAGTTTCAGTTCCATCTGGGATAGCCCGAAATCAACAAAATGAGTAGATAGGTAAATCTCTGAAATAACTCTGATTGGTTTCTCCTCCAATGCTACAACCTCACTCGCCAAGACAAAACATATCGAATACTCATTCAAGCGCTACGACACGTACTAACCTACATAATTCAGTAAATGTACGCACATTACAAATACGTTTGTAACATATTACGGTATAAACGAAGGGCCACACAACATAACCCAAACTGCTCAGGTCGCATTGTTGGTTGGTTCTGCTCTCCGCATGACTCCGCATATGACTGTAGCGAATCTTGGCTGAAACCTGCCTGGCTACCTGGACCTCTTGCTGCTCCAGCAGGCTTTTTCTTGTCTACACAGAGATTGTGGTGGCAGTGAGAGGGCGGTGAGAGTGAGAGCGATAGGAGCAAGAGAGCGGCAAGAGGGTGGATGTTATTCCTTGCACAGTAGTTCCAACTAGTGGAACTGATGCCGGCATCCCGACATCAAGGTAGGGTCAAAAGCGACCATTTGTTTCCCCCCACTCTCATCCTTCCCCAACCACACCCCCCCTTTCCCCCCCCCTCACAACCCCTGTTGCAACTGGTTCTTGGGCATTCTCAAATCCATGCAGCAAGACTCAGGGTTTTAGGGGAGGGAGGATGGGCCGTGGCTGGCGGGGTGGGAGTGCGTGCGTGCATGTGGGCTGGGGGAGAGAGAGGAGGGTTTGCTTTCCCCTCCTCCCCAGCTGACAAGACGGCAGGGCGACTGGGCAGTGGCTGGGCTGGGCAGTCTCTACATGTGCGTGGCCTTGACAAAGTTCCTGTCTGCTCCCTTCCCTTACTTGCTCTCTCCCTATTCCAGTGTGCAACATTGAACCGTGTCACTCAACCAGGAACAGCTTGCCGAATTCCTGTCCCTCATTGCTGTGCCTTGAATACTCCCTCTCCACGCCTCGTTGTTCCCTGAGGCAACAACATCGCGGCACACACCCAACTACTTCTAATACACTTTGTATAGCACTTCGACACCTCGAGAAAGCATGAGTCAAGATCTAATTGTACTTACCAGTACATTCTGTGACGCTCCAGCACCTCGCCTTGCCGTATGGCACCTGATAGCACCAGCATCCCACCAACCTCGTTGTTGCTTCCAACCTGACCTACAGTCACCCTTCCCAGGCGGTGTCTGGAGAGAGGCACCACCTTTCTCCACCTTGGGCGCACTCAGCTTGGGCGCACTCACCTTGGGCGCACTCAGCTTGGGCGCACTCACCTTGGGCGCACTCACCTTGGGCGCACTCAGCTTGGGCGCACTCAGCTTGGGCGCACTCAGCTTGGGCGCACTCACCTTGGGCGCACTCACCTTGGTGAGGCGGCACTGGAAGAGAGGCACAACCACAGGGATGCTGCGCGCCGTGCAGCCCCGCAACCCAATTGCCCACCTCACCTTGTCATACCTGATTGCATCACACCCCACCTCACCATGGTTTTCCTGATAGTACCAACACCCCACCGGGCCCACCCCAAACCACGATAAAAACAACAACCCACCTCCGCCTGCACTCCCCACATCCCCCCCACCTCATCGTGTGTTACCCACCCCACCTCAGCCTCGAGTCACCTCGGCCTGCAGTCATCTTGGCCAGGCGGCGTCTGGAGAGAGTCACGATGGTAGGAATGATGCGTGTGGCAGCATCTGATTGGATGGTTGTGACGGCCGCGTCAAGACTGCCTGGGAAACAGAGCAAAGACGGGGAAGAGCAGTGAGGGTAGGATTTGTGGGCCAGAGGCACGTGAATGCTTCATGCTACGTACATGAGCAATACTTTTGAGAGTTCCACATCATCAAACCCGCTACCCTTCCCTCCCTCCTGCCACTTCTCTCCCATGCCACCACCACCAACCTCCTCAACGGTGGTGGTCAGGCCAATGTAATAAAGATCCATCCGCCATCTCTACCACACCACTTCCTATGTCTTCCTTCTCTCCTCCTCGCATGCCATGCTACGTTTGTGCCTCACAGGTGCACCCTTCCCCTGCTTGCATCGGTCTCCCCTGTGGGGTCTGTTAGGCTACCCTCACACCAAGCCGATCACTCTGCTCTAGAGCGATTCAGGCTGATGCTTGAGTACCTTCTCTCGGCTTGGTTCCGTGTTACGAAAACAAATTGCACAAGAAACATACAAGCAAAACGCACAGAGCATGAGCTCTTTTTCAAATGAATCTACCTAGCAGCCTCCTTCCTGATCCCACCTACCTTTCGTAACAAGCTGCGTGCCTAGCCCACCTAGCCCTCGGACAAACTGGCCGCGCGTGCCTCTGGGTACTACCTGGCTCCACACTGGGCCCACTAGGCATGCACCGCATTCCAGGCTGGCAGGCTGGCCTTCTCGGAATCCATTTCTTTGGGTACTGCCCAACATCTCTCACCAACATTTCCCAAATATTCTCACCAACTCGGCTCTACACATCCAGCAAATTCAAGCAGATACAGGACAAGTTAGAGCGACCACAACTTGCAAACTCCCTTACGCGATGTGCTATTAAACCATGGTTCGGGGTTGTGCATTCATAGCGCGACATCAGCACCAAACACATATGCACAAGTTATCGTTATGCGTACGCTCAGGGTTCTCTCCAACGTTTGAAAACTCAATACAAAAAAATCTGTTGCTATTATCAGTACGCTCACCCCCCTACCACCCCACGCAACCCCCCCTCCCCCTCCTTTGCCTCTCTGTCCCTCACCTTGTCCACATTAGGCGCAAGGACCACAGACGCATGCACAACCTAACAACCATACCAACCCTGACCCCTCTCTCACCTCTCAGCATCCCCCTTACCACCTCCCTCACCTCCCATCACTCCCCTTACCACCCCCCTCACCTCTCAATAGCATGCACCCACGCACTACTCACCAAACACCCCTACCCTCCTCTCACCTCGTTCTCCCTGTTCACCTTCTCACCTCCCCACCTCACGCATCCATAATACGATGCAACACTTACCATAGCACCGCCTCCTTCCCCTCACCTCCCCTTTGCTGCTCATTTTCCCCACCCCCCCACCCTCAACCCCATGCCCACTCCCCCCACTTCCTAAACCGTCCCAACTCGTCCACAGTAGGCGCCACCATCGCAGACCGGTGGAACATCTCACAGAACCTTACCCCTTCTCTCAACTCCTCCCCTCAGCTGTCCCTTCCTCTCTCACTTGCCCCTTCCTCTCTCACCTGTCCCTTCTCTCCTCAACTGCCCCAGGCACCTCCTCCCACACTCTTGGCCCTCCCACTGCGCACTGCCCTGCGCAGCCTGCCCCACCTCCTTCAACCCTACTAGCACCTGCCGCTCCCTGCTAGCACCTGCTGCTCCCTGCTAGCACCTGCCGCTCCGTGCTAGCACCTGCCGCTCCCTGCTAGCACCTGCCGCTCCCTGCTAGCACCTGCCGCTGCATTGCACCCCAGTCCAATGAGATAGGAGAGTGTGGAGGGGAGGGGGTGAGTGTATGGTTCGGGGGAAGGGGGAAGGGGGAAAGGGAGGACGGAGGGGTGGTGTGGAGAGGGAAGGAGGGACTTCCTCTCGTGTCAGAACCATTCACCCATGCGAAGGGGTGAGGGGGGACGTGGATGGGGGAAGGGGGGAATGGAGAGCGGAGGGACGTGAAGAGAGGAGGGGGCACGGGGAGAGGGGAGGAGGACAAGGGGAAGGGAGGGGGCATGTGGAGAGGGGAGGAGGGACACGAAGACGGGAGGGGACATGGGGAGAGGAGGCGGTACATGGCAAGTGTCTTTGCCCGAACGGGGGAGGCCAAGTGACTGACTGCAAGGGGCATGGCAGTCCATGACAGGGTTGGCAGGAGGTGGAGGTGGAGGAGAATGTTTAGTCGAATCAACAACAGACGGTGCCTTTCGGGAATCCTGGCTTGGTGAGGTGGGATAATGACAGAGATAAGCATGTGGTAGAGGTGGGGGAGGGAACTACGGAGGGGAATCACCTTGGGAGGGGTTCACCTAGGGAGGGGTTCACAACGACAGTGTCTTTCTAGAACGCCTTGGCTTGGAATCACAGCATGCGCCTTCCCACCCATAGCCAGCCACTTCCCCTCCCTTGCCCATTCCCCCCTACAGTCTCACCTTGAACAGGTCCATGCGGAATGCCCTGGCTTGGATTGGAATCACAGCAGTTTCGGCAGCAGTGGTGCCGCTGCCACCACCAGAGAGTTCACTCGGTGTGGCCGCCTGCTGGGCGTACCTGGGGAGCGGGAGGGGAGGAATACAGAGAGTAGGGTGGGGGGAGAGCGTGGGAAGGAAGGGGAGAGGGAAGAAGAGGGAGGATCAGCAGAGTAGCCACGAGTGCATTCAGCTCTGGGGTGCCCACCTGCTGGGCGTACCTGGGGAGAGGGGAGGGCAAAGGCGAGGGGAGCAGTGAGTGTGTGTGGGAGGAAGGAGAGGCGGGTTGTGAGGGAGGAGATGTGTGCAGTGCAGCGGGGGAGTGCAGGGGGAAGGTGAAGCTTCGGGAGAAGGCTGTGAAGATGCGATAGCCAAAGCGAGGAGTATGGCGCACATTGCCATACCTCGATGGTGCTCTGCTCAGTGGTATTTAGTTTGAATTGATTGACTCAGCAGTCGGCTGATGTGGCTTTTGTCTCGTTTTCTATATTGCGAATGTTTTTGAGTCAGAAACTTCTTCTTAGCAGTCGACTGAAATACTGCTCTCCTCACGTGCTGCCTGCTTGCCTCACCTGCTCCAGTGGAGTGTGCCCAGCGAGTTCATGTCCGGTGTGACAATAACCTGCTGGTCCAACCTGGGTGTGGCCAGACAGAAGTGTGAAGCAAGGAGGGCGAGGAAGGAAGGACGGAGGAAGAGGGCAAGGCGTGAGGGACAGGCACGTGGAGTTTGTTTGTGGGGACAGGCCAGCAAGGCGTTCAGCTCCGGTGTTACCAGGACCTGGCTGGGTGTGGCCAGAGGTAAAAGGGAGAGCAGGAGAGTGCGACGGGGGACGGTGTAGTCTGTCGGATCAGCAGTACGCTCAAAGCCGGGCCGACCAAGGGCGCACCTGGGTGGTTCGAGGTAGGGATGTGAGCATGGAATGTCCACGGCAAGGTACCAGTGGTGTTTGGCGCTCACTCGGTATCGATCGGTCAACTTAATGCCTCATCTCCTGGTTGCCTCCACGCGAATGTATGGCTAAGATAGCCTTCCTTTTGCAAGGCATTTCTTTCGAAACAGATCAAGTTTCCATGCCTCACCTGCTGCCTGCCTCCACGCCAACGTAAGTCGTCGGCTGATTTTGCCTTCTCAACGTGCTGCCTCCTTGCTCTCTCTTCTCCTCCCCTCCCCTCCCTTCTCCTCCCCTTCTTTCTCATCCACTCCCTTCTCCTCCCCCACTTGCTCCTGCTCTTGCGCCTTCTCTCCTCCTTCTCTCCTCCTCCTCTCCACCTTCTCTCCTCCTTCTCTCCACCTTCTCTCCTCCTTCTCTCCTCCTTCTCTCCTCCGTCTCTCCTCCTTCTCTCCTCCTTCTCTCCTCCCTCTTTCCTCCCTCGCCCTCACCACACGTTGATGGGTTCACCTGCACCTGCCCTCCCCCCCACGGTTTCTCGCGCCCCCCACCGCGCCCCCCCTCGTGGCCCTCCTCGCGCCCCTTGTGCGCGCTCTCCCCTGTTCGGACGTTCCCTCTCTCCCGCTCCGCCTGCCCCTTCTCCCCTCCCTCCCGCCCCATCTTGCTCTGCCCTCTGTCCCCCTTTCTCCCACCCCTTGCCTCGTTTCCGCGAAACCCAAGCCACGTGCGCATGCATCCCCCCTTTGCCCTCTCCGCCCGCCTACCCTTCCCCTCCACGCGGCCGCCCGTCACTGCTGCCCCCATCTGCGCTCCCCGTTCCACTGTCGCGTAAACCAAATTCCGCGGACTCTAGCGAAGGCGACGGTACACGCGCACGCGTAGCAGGAGTGGCGGTGGCGGCAGTGGTGCCGGCGTTGGCGGCGGGGGCAGCGGCGATGGCGGCGGAAAGGAAGTGATCCAGGCGGAGCGCGACCGGCGCGGGCTTCCACCGCCTCTTCGCGTTGCTGCCGCCGCCGAGGATTCAGCCTGTGCTTCTCGCAGCGACGCTGTGGTATCCGCCGCTCCCACTGCCTCCGCTATTGTCGCCGCCAGATGTCCCGCCTGCACGCGCGTACTTGGCCCATCCGCCATTGCCGCTGCTCCTCGCGCTTATGCTGTCGCGACACTAAATCCGTTCTCCTCGCTTTCGTCGTCTGTAGTCGCTATTTTGTCGCCATCCGTTGCTCTGTCGTCGCCCTGTCTGTTGCTTCAATGTGACCGTTATCTAGCCACTAGGGTCCTGTGTGCTCTGGTGGCGTGACACAATGTAGGCTAATTCGAAAGACGTGACACACACTGTTATGAGTATGCGGGTTTTACAAACTAGAATACAGAACTGAACGTCCTACGAATGTGTAAAACGAGGCTGAGATAGGCAGTGTCGAGCTAGGCGAGAACCTCGCGAAAGGTGCGGAGGCGACTCGGAAGTGGTTCGGTACGCGGAAGTAGGCCGAACCAGATGATGCAAACCTGTAAGGAATTTTCTCGGCATTCCTTACGGAGCCCGACTACATCGCGTACAGCAACAGCCGTTGTTCGCCCGTCACTGCTAACGGGACTTCGCCAACTTCGCGCGCACTGTTTTGCCAAACCTCGCACTGCTGGCGTGGCCGTGTCGGCCTACGCTTCGGGACTAGCCCGAGCCTCGCTGCCAGCATAGCACTAGCTAGCTCGCACGCACCGCGTTACCGTTTGCATGTTTCGCGTATAAATGTTCGCTCATGCCTTCGCTCACATTTTGTACTCGTTTGACACCTTAGTGCAATTCTCGCTACGTCGATTCATTGCACCCGTAACACTTGGTATTCAGAGCCCCTTTCTTTCGAACCGCGCATCTCCGCACCCCAGGAAACCAACTTTTGATTTTTCACTCGAAGGGACTCACGTACCTTAGCACCTAGGAGCCGCTGTCCTCGCGTTCTCTCGTAAACGCGTGCAGCCACGACTGCGCCTAGACTAAGACGAGCCGACGCCCTTCGAAAATGGCTGAACACATCGACGTCACGACTCTCACACAGGAGCACTTGAACGATCTGCTACGACAAATCCGCGAGAGCGCCGAGGAAATTGCGACGCTGACCGCAGAACGCTCGTCCTTGCAAAACGACCTCACACGAGCACAATCCCAAGCACCTGGCACTCCGATTCAGCCCGCACCACAAACATCACAGCACGGAAGTGTGGGGCAACCCGCGAGCGCCGCAAGTGATGGCGTCGTCCGCCATGACGGAGACGACGACCACGGCACGACACACCCCGACGCGACGAATGCAGCCAGGACTCAGCCTCAAGTCACGATTTCAGTGCCGGCCGGCGGATCAACTCTTCCGTCGCCGATGCCGCTAAAGCCGCAGCGTCCACCATGCTTTGACCCAAGTCAGCGGGGTGGTCCTACTATTCAGGCGTGGCTCTTCACGTTGAACGTTTTCTTCGACGCGAACTACGTCTCGGAGGATACGGCGAAGATTTGTTACGCCGTGTCGTTGCTGCGAGGACCCACCATGGACTGGTGGCGCGTCATCGTCACGAAGCCGGTGGACTACGCGACTCTACCGACACAGGAAGGACAAACCGGACCCTGGGCGCCGTCGTATTTCGTGGAGGTGCCCCAGTATCGCACGTAGGACACATGGTGCGCAGGTCTGCGCGCTCGTTTCGAGCCAATCGCGGCTTCGATCGCGGCGCGACAGAAGCTCCGCACTTGGCGCCAACTTGGTTCCGTCCAAGACTACACGAGTGGATTTCTGGCGCTATGCGAGCAGGTGGGATATATGCACAAGAGCGAGCGCATCGACCGCTACATCGGCGGCCTGAAGCAGGACATCGCTCAGGAAATCCAGCTTCGCGGCGTCACCGACTTTCAAGAAATTCTCGCTATGGCGGAGAAACTGGATTTCTTCCGCCGACCGAGACCGGGGTCCTACAGAAACAGCCATTGGGGACATCGGCCTCGAGGGACGAACGAGGGCGCCACGATACGTGCCGTCGCCGCAAATGCCGCTGCCGCACCGTTCAAAGGGCGCTGCTTTGCGTGCAATCGGCCGGGACATCGCAAGAGCGAATGCTCGGAAAACGCTAAGGGAAAGGGGGAAGCTGAGCAGCAGAAACAGACCAAGCAGCAGGGAAACGCTGGGAGTCAGTAGCAAACGGGCCCTCTACTGACAGGTCACGCCACTCGCCCGACCCAACCGACCCTCACCGAGTGATTGTGCCGGTTCACGCAATCGACCACACCCGGCCGAATAAGGAGGGTACCACGGTAGACAGCCCCATACTGCTTAGTGGGGAAATCGAGACGGACTTAGTAAAAATCTTCGTAGACGGGGGGGCCAGCCACAGCCTCATCAACACTACTACAGCACGAAAACTGCGACTGCCATTGGACAGATGTTTACCTGAGATCAACGCAAGGCTAGTAGACGGCACGCCGCTGGCAAAACGGGAACGCGTAGACCGGGTTCGGATTCGATGTGGGGGTAACTTCACGTTTAGCCAGGAAATGCTCGGAACGACCCTCGACGGAACCGATATTTTACTCGGGCGTGATTGGCTGCGACGACACAATCCGCGAATCGACTGGACGACGGGTGACTGCACCGTGCGAGTGAACGGTAACAACATCGCCTTACCTCGCTGGGGCTCGCCTGAGTCTTCGTCGGTGCGTGTCAACGCGATCACGATGAAACGCGCCGTAGCGGCAGGAGCTGACGTGTACGCGGTCGACATTCGGGAAGCCGAGGCAGCAGACAAAGGAGGGGATTTACAGAAACTGTTGGCCGACGTACTGAGTGATCTGGCAGCACTTTTGGAGCAGTACAGCGACATTTTCCCGGACGATTTACCGACGGGACTGCCACCTCAGCGACCGCACGACCACAGGATAGAGTTAGAACCGGGGGCACAGCCAACAGTACAGCGACAGTTCCGACTGACCCAGCCCGAACTGGACGAACTGAGGAAGCAGCTCGATTACCTGCTCAAGAAGGACTTCATTCGCCCTAGTTCGTCGCCCTTCGCAACACCGATACTATTGACACCGAAAAAAGACGGGGGATTTCGCATGTGCATAGATTACAGAGCACTGAACAGGGTTACCATCAAATCCCGTTACCCCATCCCGCGAGCCGACGTACTGATCGACCAACTGCGCACAGCCCAGGTTTTCTCGAAAATCGACCTCCGAGGGGGTTACCACCAGATTCGCGTCAATCCGCCCGACTGCCCTAAGACCGCATTCCGAACACGCTACGGATCCTTCGAATACACCGTCATGCCCTTCGGACTGACCAACGCCCCCGCCACTTTTCAAATGACCATGAACGAAGCTTTCCGCCCACTCTTAGATAAGTGCGTCATCGTACACCTGGACGACATACTAATTTACAGCCCTGACAGAGCACAGCACTTACAGGACATCGAAGCAGTTTTTAAAATACTGAGTGAGAACCGCCTAGTGACAAAAGCGTCTAAGTGTGAGTTTTTACAGGACCGCCTGGAATTTTTGGGACACGTTATTTCAACTGTAGGAGTGGAAATAGACCCGAACCAAGCATGGCACGCGCCGACCAACTTAACCGAGTTGCAGAGTTTTTTGGGGTTCGTCAACTACGTGCGTCGGTTCGTCCCCGACATGGCGAAGCTGACTGCCTCGTTCACAGACCTGCTGAGGAAGGGGGTTGAGTACACTGAGAAGAAACGAGGAATGAAATGACTAAGGGAAAGTTTGGTACAAATGCAAACCCTAGGAAAACTGTACCCCATATGTGCTACCCCACTATAGCCTACAGTAGCTATGTCATATAAATCTGACACACCCCCATAGGCAAAGTGGGGGAGAACAAGGGGTCACAAGACCAGTCAAGCAAAGCAAAACAAGCTCAGGGTGGATCACAAAGTCACCACACATTCCGAGCACAAGTTCAAGGCCACAAGGCCAGTTCACATGCAGGATTACATATATATATATAAGGCTAGACAAGCAAGAGCAGGTGTATATATATATGCAACAGTACAAACAAGGTCAAGGGGTGAGCAAGTGAGGCAAGGTAGGCACAAGACCCAGCTGAGTACAGAAGCGCTGATGATCACAAGGCGCAAGTGCCTTGGTGAAGATATCAGCAGTGTTGGCCTGAGAGGCCACGTACGCAAGCCGCAGCTGACCACGTTGCTGTAGCTCACGAGCAAGGAAGTAGCGGAGAGCAATGTGCTTCGTTCTGTGCTCCAGTCTCTGCTCTCGACACAAGGCCAGCATGGCCTTGTTGTCTACGTACAGTACTGGAGGAGAACGAGGCGGCTCTCCGAGGTCAGTCAGCAGGTAGGTGAGCCAGCGAAGCTCCTGTGCAGCCATGGCCCCGGCGTAGATCTCAGCCTCACAACTGGAGCCGAGAACAGAAGACGAGCGGGTAGCCCGCCACGAAACAGAGCCGGAACCAAGGCTGAAGGTGTAACCCTGTGACGACCGCTGCGTAGCCTGGTCGTCAGCCCAAGAAGCGTCTGCGTGCCCAGTGAGGACCACTGGACTCTGCCCTCCAAGCACAAGCCCCATGCCCGACGTACTGCACAAGTAGCGCAACACCCTCTTCGCTGCAGCCATGTGCTCCGGTCTGTGTCTCCCAGGAGCAACATAGCGTGCAAGAATGCTAAGAGGGTATGCAAGGTCAGGTCGTGTGCAGGTCATCAGGTACATGAGGCAGCCAACAAGCTCTGGGTACGGGCCACTCGACTCTACGGACTCATCCGAAGCCAGAGCTGAGAGCGAGTGGCGA